ATCTCACTGTGGGTCTTGTGGTGTCCCAGTTTTTCACAGGTTTTCACAGTTTCAGCTATGGGTAGCAAGCCATCCATGCCCACCCTGGGAGGGATGCCTTTTAGAGGCCCTGAAACCACAAGCCTTTATGCCCTACTTCTTCAGCTCCTACACTCACTCTGCTGGTGTCCCACTGGCTATACTCTCATGGGAGCTTTCTAACTACTGTCAGCACACAGGCAAATGGAAGGAGTTTCCTCAAACTGCCTATGCCACCACTTCTGCTGCCAATAAGAGTGGTTGGATCGATGAGGTGGCTGTTTTCAATTCCAGCCTTTCACTTTCTACCATGGCTTGTGGCATGGCGGCTCAGCAACAGGGCAGATAATGCTTCTAGGTCTATCTTATTATTAAGCTTAAAATCCCCACAGCTCAAAAATGTGGCTTTTCCATGCAACATGTGACTGCTGCCATTTTGACTGAGGTCAGGTGACCTTACCACCATCTTATCTGAGGTCAGGTGACTTTGCTACCATCTTGGCTGAGATCCAGGTCAGGGGACCAAGTTCTGCCATCTTTACTGAGGTATATCCTGCCTGGTTCCCCAGTGTTAGGTCTGTTACATGGGTGACCTTACCACCATCTTAACTGAGGTCAGGTGACTGCACCACCATCTTAACTGAGAGCCAGGTCAGGTGACCAAGTCCTGCCATCTTTACTGAGGTATACTCTGCCTGGTCCCACATTTACTTATGTTTTTGCCTCTAAATTCCTCTTGTTGACTCTGTTGCATGTGTGTTTTGTGCAGTGGCATGTCTTTGGTAGGGCCTACCAAGAGCATCTACTTTACCCAATTCCTGTTTACTCTGTGTATATGTGTGTGTTCATACATGTGACTTAAATGAGCCTATGTTTACTATTAAATGTTATAGTTGTCTGTTCCTTGCATCTCATTTCAGACTACAAAAACAATAATCTCATGTTTTAAACTGGTATGCACTTTTAAGTCTCTTACAAAAATACTTTATATTTAATCCAACCCTCATATACAATCTATTAAGATGTCCTCTACTATTGCCAGTTCTGCCATTAACCTTCTATTGCAAGCAATTTTTCTTCTTTCTGTCTTTTTATGAGTATAAACATTACGTGTTAAGTTAAAAGCCAGTATAGGCAAGCTCAGACACAGCTCTCCAGGCAGATTCTATACTGTAGTTATACATGATAAACATCCCTCAACTGCTCAGAGATCTGGGAAATATGGCATTTAAATATTTAATTATTAAAAAAACTTTTCATAACAAAAAGAAACAGGTTGGCTCCTAGCAGCACTCTACCTCCTCCAAAGAAGACAGAAGACAAATGGGCACACAGCAACATCAATCCACAATTTGCTCAACTGCCAAGCACTGACCACTGGGAAAAACTGCTTTTCATCTAAACTGAAGATCTCCAAACATGGATAGAATTGCTGGAATCGATAGCTTAACTGCTCAGGTCAAGATAGGCTTGTCTTCCTAAAGATTTTTAGCCCACAGGATATTCTGGAGCCTGGCAGGCCCTGTGCTAAACAGGAAAAGGCAAATATGGCCTTCAGCAACCATGGAGGACCCTGAAGAATTGCTCTAGGTGACAACCAAGTAAGTTCTCTTTCATTTTTAATCAACAACTCAAGTAAAATTGTAACCTTCTCAAAATCTCTGATGCAGTTTGGCAGCTGAGAGGTTTTGTCAGTTTAAATGGGCAACCTCAGCAAACAAATTTCAGTAAAATACAAATACAAAAGAGGACTTACAAGTTATAAAGGTGTGAGGACAAATACAAGTTATCAAATTTCTCTCTCATGTTGCCTTCCATAGTCTTAAAAATACTTTTCATTGTGCAAAAATATCTGTCACAGTCATTCTGACATAAATATACTACTGTTTATAGAATGTATATGTCTAAAATTTACTTTTCAGAAACCCAAAGAATTCTTGTGAGTTCCAGGGAGTGGAATTGAAGGATCCACCTTAAACAGGTCAGATACAGCCCCCTCAATTCCGTGGTTCTAATTTTTTTTTTTCCGTAAACTTAACTTTGTCTTCTGTTCTGCCAATACCTTAAACAGACACCAGAAATTTCCATACCACAAACACCGGACAGAAGCAAAGAGACCAGCTATGCCAAGATGTGACTAGCACCAAGCCTTCTCAGGTTCTCCCCAAAGATGATGCCCACAAACAAGCAGGAAACTGTCTTGAGAATCTGTTGCCTCAATCCCTTTAACCAGTGGTGCCTAACTCTTGCCTTTTTAGTATAAAAATGAGATGGGAATGTAATGATCTGTCCTGTCCCTTTAAGAGACAAGCCATGCCCAGTCCTCCCCTGTCTTCAGAAGCAAGCTGATCTTAGCTTCCAGTCTGAGTCCCTTCCTTTTCTATCTCCCTCTTGAAGAGGCAGCGTCTGCTTCTCCCCACTTCTCCTCTTCTCCCTTCAGTCTCTCCCTTCTTTCTCTCTCTCTCTCTCTCTCTCTCTCTCTC